ACGCACGCACGCACGCACGCACGCACGCACGCACGCACGCACGCACGCACGCACGCACGCACGCACGCACACACACACACAACAGCATTTGGCAACAAGCCGTACCTCCTTACTCCCAATATGGATATTAAAATCTTCTTTTCCGTCGTTTCCGATTTTCTGTTCTCACCCTTGTTGACTGCTGATGTTTCAAAGCCATATGGAAGGATATTAAGAATGCAATCTCTATATATCCGCAACTTCGTGTTAATGCCAACCTCCATGTCAATCCAGAGATTTAAACCTTGCTGCTCCTTGCAAATGCCAACGATTAACAGAGCATCTTAATTTCATATTTCAATTGTTCTTCTCCGGTCATGTACTCCCAAGATAAACAGGTTCCGGTACCTTTTCTACAACATCGGTGTCAGGGGACAGACAGTCTTTTGTCTGCGTTCTGGCAATACCCATCGTCCTCGTCTTCTTTAAATTAATCGAGGGACACAGATCAAAACACTTGTGATTCAGGAACAGTGATACTACAGCTTCGCAGCTGCTGGCAAGCAATAAGAATACATGCATTAGGCAAGCCTAATGTACTTTTTGGCATCACTTCTTTCTCATGTTTCACCAAATTGCTACGAACAGTGTTACTGGATCAAAATCCTTTTCCATGTCTAAAATGATCAGCCGGGTATCCAAGAGTTTTCCTCCACGTTTTGAGAATCAGATAGTGCAAGCACAAGTCAGTCATAAACAGCTTTGATATAATGTCATCACGTTTGCGGTGACGTCAATTTCTTTCCTCAGCTTTCATGAGCTTACTTTAAAATAGTTTTTTGGTATGAGAGAGCAGTTTAAATACCTGATAGCCATAACAGGCCAGCCTTACATAACAGGCCGACCTGGTAAATACTGCCAATCCAAGATTTATACACTTTTCAAATCCCGTAAACAAAACTCTTCTCGATATTTCTGAACAATGTTTGGCTTCACCAGGGTCGATTTAAAAAAGTGACCATCGGATCACAGTCTAAAGGTAAAAGCACTAGAGCGGGGCTGTGGAAGGGGTTTCCCCGCTAAACCGAAGGCATGAAGTTTTTAACTGTAACTTCATATGAAATTGCCATTTTAATACGTGTAAATTGGTGTTATTCTTTGATCGAAAAACCTATGCAACTGTTATGTCCTATCGTGAATATAAGCGCAGATAAATTTTGAAACTGAAAATATCTGACAGGAGCAGAACCTATGATGCCAGATATTATCCTCAAGGGGCGGCTGAAAATTTAACGCTTCCACCGGTGCAGCCAAGGTATCTAAGCTACTGCCTGAAATATAAAAAACACAAAGCAGGTTCACTAAAATAGGCTTTCATTCGTCGGCTAACGCGCCTTAGATATGGGCAAAAGTTTGTGTACATATAAGCATAAAATTTTAACCTAAATGGATAACACTTGACGATCATTGAAACTGTAACAATGGTACGAAATTTTACCATACAGTTAAATTTACAGATACAGTGAAACATGAACGATTCAGGCAGAAGATTTGAAACGTTACAATGCAGCTCCATGCATTGTTTTGCCATTTTGCTTATTTTGCCAGAAAAGGCGTTGCAGTTCAAGACGAACAAATAAAAGGGATACAAAATGATCCTTACTAGATGCCGATTGAGTTGCGTTTCGCACTTCAAGTAGCGAAAGCAGTACTGACAAACAAACAGTGTGCGAAGAATCGAGAAGCGATCTGGGTAAGATGACGTGTACCATGTGTCAATCTCAAACTGTCCGAAACGAACTTTTTCAATGTGACTTCCAAACGTCTGGGATTCGCGACTGTTTCCCTGTAAAACATGTCTAATAGGCAGAAAGAATCATATTGACGCACAGTATGCTTACCATTTCTAGCGCCAAAGAGGATTGTGCCATTTTGAACCATTTTTCGCCCTGCTGCTGCTCGGAAGTACTAACAGCAGGATGTGCATCCTTTCTTCGCATCATCAGCGGATTTCCGTTAAGTATCCAGCATTACCACAGCAGTAAAAGAATGACAACACAGCAGGATAAAATATAAAGCCGCTCCGCACTATCTGTGTACTGTTGGGCTAACACTTGACCATTTATTTTTTTCCAACACAAATTTTGAATAACTGTAGATTGATTAGCAGGTTCAATCATAAATTTAGACAATAGCTATTTATCTTCGTACAGAACACACGGTTGATAAATTGCGCTTTCCGTCTTCTTCTCAGATGTGTCTATTACTTACTTTTGAATCGGGCTGATTAATAAAATGCACAAATGACAACATAAGTAGTGTAATTAGTTTGCTGATTGTTTTGTATGTTAGAATACCGGGTTGATAGTGAATACACAGGGTCAATTTTCTTTTATGAATGGCCAATATCCTTGAGCACAAAACTCAAACCAGACAGACCACAAACTTCAAAATTCAGATCACAACACGTTCAACAAGCTAAAAAACTGGTAGTATTTTTATGACCTTCGAATTGCAGTGAGAAATAGCATGGCTCTTCGGTGTATTCATGCTAGAGCTTGCGAGATATCGGACGATGCTGTCTGATGCATGCGTTTTTCCTCTTGAAGTTGCTTTGACTCAGATGGTAACTAAATATTGTTTAGCAAAATGTGTAATGGTTAGCTTCAAATTAGAATAACTTCTACTGCAGTGAAAGAAAACGCGATCAATGTAGTTGACACATTCATTTTTTAAACTAATCTGTCAGCCTTAATATCGAGAGGTCCGTAGAAACATCAGGATTACATTTTGTACATAAACTAATCTCTCTTCTGCTGTTTTTAAGAAATGCCCCTCTCTATTCATGCAATGTGAAGGTACGATAATTCACCAAGAGCAAATGAATTTAATTGCTTGAATCGGATAATGGCAGTATCAGTCATCAGCTGAAACAGTAAAAATATATGAGCAAAAGAATTAAGTTGCAGGAAAGTCCAGTTTTCTGTCACTTTATTTCAAGCGCTACTATTGAATTTGATTCCAAAATAATCAAGAGAGTGCGATTCAGGCATGGCATAACACTAGGCATTGTGTTACGAAGAAATCAAGAAGGCATTGTCTAGAAAAGATAGCAACGAAATAAATAAATGCTGTTAACGCATTTTTTCAACCAAGAAGTCTATCAATTGCATTCTAATATTTTTTGGGTGCTTGAAATTCTTTAGTAAAGCGGCGATGAACAAACAATGGAGATGCTTCTTGTGCTAATTTAAGTTGGCCCATTATCGTCCGTTAGAACGATTTGCTACATGCACATAGAACTTAGGAATGCACAAATATTCTGCTTCTGCTAGAATAACTGCCGAGTTTAATCTACAGTTTGCGGTTACACCTTCTAATGATGTGTAGTAAGCTGTCAGGATTATGTGTCACAGCGAATTACAGATGCTACAAAGGTAGAGCTTATACAGGGTAAGTCATGATAGGATAACCCGTCAACTTTGACACAGACAGAACACGATGCTCTATGATGTTCATAGGTCAGCGATGTTAAGATTATGTTGGATTCATTTTTGCGCTGAAGTAGAATGGTATGAATTCAGTGCTCGAGCAAAGCCGCAGCAGCAAATGACAGAAAGTTTGCTCAGTGCATAGTAATTGAACTCAGCACTTCAAAATTGCAAAGCCACACTACTAATGCTGTGCAAAGGCTTCGGATCTTTAAGCTCTTTCAAATCGTTATTGATCTAGGATATGGCTAGTAAACTCTGACGAGAATAAGCGGTTGATTTTGGTGATAGATTTCAAGCATTACTCAAAATCATAAGTCACAATAGACATGTTTCGGATTAATGTTAGCTGAAAAGTTTACGTAATGCAAAATGCAAGCAGAGCACTTTTATTGAATGTTGGAGAAGATGAAATCTCAGAATCACCTCACATAGAAAGAGGCTTGGGAATCATTCTTATCGGACTTCTGACTTGACAGTGACAATATGATGAGTAGGATGAGGACGAAATTTCAAGACGTTTCAAATATGTGATAAAATATCATTTTGCACTTACTGGATAGCATTTAAACATCAGATGCAGAATATCGTGCTTCTTTGTGTTCTTCGTTGCATACATAAGCTCAGTATCATTAATAAGGTTTTAAATTTATTCCAACAGGGTGCTAAAGTTGACATGAAACGGGTACGTTTCATGATTTTATGATTAGTAGCAGGAGAAACAGAAATGAAAGTTCAGTATTTAAAGGCGATCTGACGTTTCAATCGAAATTGCATCGGTCACTTTCAAGAAATGGGCCATGTAACGTATAACGGCTGAGACTAGTGGGTGTGTTGTCTCATTGAAGGAACGTCAAAAATTTTCGGTAATAAAGCAATTAATCAGACTTTTGACATTAGAAACGGTGCTTTTAATCGCTTGCAAAGCCAGCGCCACGGATTGTTTTCTTAAACCGTCATCATTATGGTGTTGCAGGGATGCGTGGCTATTCAACGGCTCAGAAGCATCTAGAGGTGCAGAGTTCCATTCGTTAGGGTCGCCTTTTAATTTCTACTTCAGTGCGCTTAGTACCGTCAGCCCAGTCTCATATACAAGAATGCAAATGATAAGGATCAAATTTCAGCCATCAGAAATGAACTAAGCTTGTGGAAAATATAACACGCAGGAAACAGAGTCGAAGTGTGAATCGAAAACAATGTTCTAGTATCAAACTGTAGCAAGAGTGCTCACCTGACCCATCACTGTCAAGTGAAGAACATCAAGTGTCAGTCACTAGTCGCCGAAGCTCACCATCCTGCCACTATGGAGAGAGTCCGTACCATGCAACAACGCTGTGAAATACTTGGGGATCCTGCTGAACGACAAACTGAACTGACTAGATCACATTCCTTCAGTGTTCTCAAAAGTACCTCCGAGGACTGCATTGTCTGCTGCCACTAATGAGGTTACCGATCTGTGGGTCAGTGTGCTTTTAAACGCCTGGTACCATCCTTCACATACGCCGGCCCAGTGTTATTCATTGTCTTATTAACAAAAGTAGTTTAGAAGCGCAGCAGTGATGGACGCCCATCTGAACAGATTCAGCGCCGAGGAAATAGATTAACGAACTGTAACAACGATCAAAGCGACTTGTCGTCTGAGACAATCGTTGCTGATCGACAGCAACCACCTGTTACACATGGTGTTCATGAAAGCAACTTCCAAACATCAGAGAACTGGTCGCTTTTATAGCGCTATCCCCACCCGCCCGTAAATACCATACTATTTCTCGCCGGGATTCTTCGACAGTCAGATGAGGGTAGGAAGCAGCTTGAAAAGTAGTAGCAAAACACGAGGCATAGAGGACAGTAACATACCGTTCCGCATGTAAATTTGTTACTAAATTCTGCATCATACTGATTCTACTCGCAAGTATGATGACAGTATTCTGTGCTGAAATCAACTGTTGTTGTTTAAACATGTAAAATTTACTGACTGATTGTCAGCTGACAGCTTGGTACTGCATCAAACATTATAACCATGACATCTAATAACAAAACTTGCTCGCGCATACGAACCATCTCATTATGTCAATTAATTTCATGAACACTGCTACTTATATACTAAGTATATGTATTAATTCCTGCGTCATGTTGCTTCTGTTCGCAATTGCGGGTTTCTGCAATTTTAAACCGGAATTGATTTTGTTAAAATCATGAATGTTTGCGAGGGTATGGGCAACTGATTCCTAACGGATAGCCTTCGTGATTCGTGATGATGTCTTTTTGCTTAGTGACTCCAGTTATCAACAATTCGAAATCGTAGCTGTTGATGATGGTCTGTACTCTGAATTATTAACGGAATATTTAATCGCGTTGTTCCCATGTCAAAATATGCTTCATTGGCGCTGGTGTTTGATGAGGGTTATAGCTTCAGGTGGCCGCTCAGAGATGTGAAATGACCATAAACTTTGATCCGCTTCATTGATTCCTCCTAGGAACCTGTCAGTATTATTGCGAGCATTGCAATAATTGTTTACACAAAGAAGTCCTTATCAACTAAAAAAATTACTGTTAATGTTCGACCGATATTTAATCGCTTACATCTTAATACTAACGATCAATGTAGCAATGAAACATCCTCTTCCTATCGTAAGGCACGTAAAGCCATGTACATCAGGAAACGATGCCATTTGGGAAGGCAAGAGATGGAGAGAAATTTCAAATCTTTTGGCATCTCAAGCAATACTTGTAGTTCGAAAAGTTTCGTCTAACTGGCATTTTTTTTTTGGAAAGTTGGGTATGGCATTACGGGCATTCTGGATCAGCCGTTGCTGTAGTTTTGAACTTCCGGCAAATCTATGCGATAATACGTAAAATCAGAACGTAGTTGCTGGAATAGAGGGGCAAGCCGTTATTCAGTTCTTGATACAGTAAACTTAGACGAACAACAGAATCTGTGAAAAACAATAACTAAGTTCAATCCAGATCTCTTAACCTACTTTTTCCAATTGAAGTGATGTCTGCTATGGTGGCAACTGCCTCGTTAGCGTGTGCATTAGACATTCAACGTAACCATGCAATGCCGTTCGCAACTTTAAAATAGTCAGATGCTAATACACGGTGGCATGCGATTACCGTACACCAGGAAGCTTCAGTTTTGTTCATCGTCATCTTAATCTGCCTCATGGATTGCTGTTCATCAGTCAGACAGAGTAAGTCGGTCATAACAGACCTTGTATGCCAGACGCAAAGCTGCCGTTCTTTTATTTTGGGATGACCAAGCGGTCTTCTGTTAGTCATAAATAATGACAGTGGCGCAGGAGATTCCATCAGGGCTTCAGTTTGAGTGTGCTTCCTCAGTCGCATTCGACAGACATGTTTCAAAGTCATAAAACAATAAAATATACTGCTCATGACTGCATCGTAGGCTAATGGTTTCTAATTCCAGGCCTTGCAACTGCCGATCCTGCCATGGAACCCATACTACAATGCGCTTTTCCTCATTTAATCGCTGCTGATTTCTACGGCCATTTATGAGTAGTTAAAAATATGTCGTTGATGTCAAACGACAGGCATAATGTTTCTTGACTTTTTGTCTGCTAGTGATATGGTTCCAGGGGATCTATTATCATTTTCTCTTGATCATGATCAAATCGTGGGATTAATAGTCTTGTACTCCGGAGAGTTGTGTGCGACTTTGCGAGGGCATAAAATTAATGTGCCTCAATGGTACCCATATTTTGCATAGCGGTTATTAGGCCATAAGGTGAGTCACGGTGCCCGGCAGCCATTTAACATGTGTTCTGCGCAGTATCGTCGTGAGTCCTTTAATCTCGATCATGATCTACTTTTTCGCCATATCCAGTTACCACAAACATGACGCCAGCTGCCGCTGAAACATTCCATCCTTGTCCAATTGATCCGTGCTCATTTTTCAGTCCTTTCGATGACATCTCACTTCTGACAAGATCTTTCCGACAGTGTTCCTGGTGGTTCTCTCCATCAGGCTTTGCGTTCAATATTCGCCTCGCAATAAGCCCGACTACTTTCGATCCTTATTTTCAGCCAGCAGGTCATTTTAATTGAATATTTTAGTTCCTCGCTTACAACAGTGCTTGACACCAGTTCGTACCACGGCAATCCAAATATTGATCTTGAAATCATAATTTCTCTCTTCAGCTTTGCAAAACGCTGTTGTTCCTTGCCCCATTTACTAAGATGCTTAGAATTTAAGCTCTGCTTTACGGACTGTTTTAATTCTAGACATCTTTGTGTTTCCATCGCTCGAATAACTGTTGCTAATGCTAACGCACAGGCATCGTTATATCGTAGTACTATCCCGTCTGCAGCCAATATATTCCCAAGATGCAGACGTTCGAGTTCGGGTAGCTTTTATAGAACTTTAGTGTCAAGGGTAAGATTATCCTTACTGTTGGTTCTACCAGTTTTTGTCTTTTGGTCTCCTTTTTCTTAATCGAGAGATCGAGCACATGTTTCAGAATTGGGAATGGTGATGTCGTTGTTTTGAAGTTGTCGGCAAGAGCAGCGATATCATCCCCAACTATGAGGGAGATTTCGCAGACGTTCCGCAGCGTTGCTTTCATAGCTTCACTCCTTCGTATTAGTTGAGGTACCTGCTGAAGAAACATTGCAAACAACAGTGGAATTTCCATTCACCTGTGCCTTATTCCAAACTTTCCACGAAAGAATTCGCTGAGCCTGCTATCATTTCGCAATGCATTTGATGAACAATCATATACCCTTTAAATAATGCAAATAATGTTAGGGGAAATTCCGTAATATTCACTCACTTTTCATTACACATCTCTTTAGATTGAGTCAAACACTTTAGGAAATCGAAGGATATTGCAAAGAATTTGCAATTCTCATTCTCTCTTCTTTTCTATTATCTGTCTCGTTGTGAATATTGTCCAAACATCCTTTGACTGCCATGAATCGTGACTTCTCCTCACCCAAAATCTTATCATTGGGTTGTCTAATTCTGTTCACCATGTCATTCATGAACACTTGAGCAGGAACGGATAGTAGGCTGATTCCACGGTAGATATTTGGATCTGAGCAACAGCCCTCCTTGAACATTGCGACCAAAATATGTTTCTTCCAGTTGTTCGAGATCTCCACTTTCTGCGACATGTCAATTTCAGTAGATTGTTCATTCCAGACTTCATTTCATTCGAACTTCTGTAGCTTTGTCATTTTTCAGTTGGTTTCAGGGCTTCTTCAAGGATCGGTGAGATAGTATCAGCATCCATCTTTTTTCTACGTCTGACATCATGCAGTGAATCTTGTTTCCGAATCATATCAGGGATTGGTAACAATTAATTGTGTTTTCTCC